TTTGTTTTCCAGGTCATTAACACTTCTGCCACCATTTGCTGCAGAATCCATAAACAAGCTCATCAGAGAGAGGAGAGATGCAGCAGCTTCTAAAACACATCCCCGGAGCAGAGCAGAGCATTCTGTGTAAGCTCCCAGGCGGAGCGTTTCCAAGGGAGGCGTGTTCTTTGTCACTTAATAGTCACGACTCGGGCTTCCAGCTGAGGTGACTCATCAGAATCTTAAATGGATTATGCACAAAACAGCATGTCCTTCTGGGAGTGCTTTCCATTCTGCAGGCAGGTTTTATTTGCTCTTTTTTGGGTATCCATTTTCTTTTTAGCCTTAACACAGTCAGCGTTTTCATAGCCAACACGCTCGGCTTCCCAAGAGAAATTTTACAGACAGGCCTCTGGAAGCATGACATGGAAACAAGCATTTCTTATTGCCACTTAAAGTACCTTGTTCACATCCACTGCTCAACTGTTTGCGGCAAGAGGGACAGAAGGGCAAAAAGATCTATTCATCCTACCAGCTTTCTTTAAAGGTTTCAAAATTCACAACAGCAGGGAAGTGTCACCAGAAACACTATCTACCCTGCAACTATACTGACCATCACAAGAAGCAAAGGGTATGATCACATTGAAAGATCCCCTGCCCTGCCAGCCATCTGGAAAAGGCAGGTGGGAAGTTTGACAAATTCCAGAGTTTGAGCAACTGCTGAAATGAAATGAGATCAAATGAACCAAGACTGCAAATGCTGAGTTTAAGGAGCTGATAATATGGATGTCATAAGTCTTGGCCTGGTTCTACCCAGCTTCCTATCATTCAAAAAAAAAATTAGAAAACAAGATGGGTGTAGAGAGCTGAGTACACTGGGGGAACTTTACTGAGCTTCCTTCTCGTCACAGTCACAGAGAAAGGTCCAGGATGAAGTCAGATGAGGCTGAAATGGACCAATATATTCCAGTTACCTAGATTCAACACTGTGCACTTCTTTCACTCCATTCTGATAATAAAAGAGTTGTAAAGAGGTTTGTTTGCCAAGGGAAGAGAATCCTTTGCCAAGGGAAGCTGAGTCCTGGTGTGACTCGAGCTACAGAGTTCTGCACAGATTTTCCATTGCTCCTGTATTGTTATTATATAACAACTTTCACTGGGCAATCTGCCAGATTCATTGGAATTACATAAATCAGCTGTTTTGCTGTCTCATGTTTCCTTTGGCGTATGTAACATCTGCAGGAAGCAGGACATTCCTGTACCAAACCAAGAGGCACTTGGGATAGAAATAAACAATGTTCAGTCCACGTGACATCTGGATCATATTTTTTTACTTAGCGGGAGCCTCAGAATATCTCAGCAGGGGCCAGGGCCCCAGGGTTATCGGATAGGGTAACCAATGCTGCTGGCCTGGGTAATGCTGGTTTCTCTTGGAGCCATTCTTCTATTGATTAAGCACACATCATAAAAAGGCTGGTAGGAGCAGCAGCGACTGCACTCCAATCCACAGAAGAGGCTGCTGCTCCTACCAGCCTTTTTATGACGTGTGCTTAATCAGTAGAAGAGTGGTCTGACGAGCACTGCAAGTTGTCCACAGATATACAGGCCATGTCTAGACAGCAATGTATTGAGCACCATCAAATACTCCATGCCACCTGAAGCAGGAGCAGTAGAGCCACATCTACATGGCACTGATGGTGGTCTAACTAGTACTGCCACACTGCTGTGCATTCATGTGCCCCACCCCCCACCTCCACACACAGTTTGAGGGTACCACTGCTAGACACAGCAAATGTGCAGTCCAGACAAGGACATGGAGGGGCTCAAAGGTCCAGCTGAGTACTCACATAGGAGTGGTAGATAATGTGCACTAGCTCAAAATGAGCATTGGCAGCAGAGTGGACTTTTCATGAAGTCAGGCATAGCAGAGCAAGGAGAAATAACGAAGCATCCTGAGCCCCTGATGCTATTGTGCTTTGTAGTCAAACTGCTATTGTGAAAGCTGAGTCTCCTTCCTCTTCCTCCCATACATGTTCCAGCTGAGGATTGTCACAACAGGTGCTCTTCAGAATAAGAGTGCAGAAGAGCCCCATTTACCAGCACCCCCTCAATACCAGAAAGAGTTCAAACTCCATAAGATCAGACAGAGAAGGGCTATTTCCATGGCCAACTACAGAGGGAAGATGCCCTCAGTTGGAACCCACTGCCTGATTTCTTTTTCTTGAACTGAAATGAAGTCTCATTTAGTTTGCAGTGAACACCTGGGAACCTGAGAAGTAGGACAGTCACAAATCACATGGCAAATGCAGAAGCCTGGAAAAGTGGGCTGCATATTTAACACGGATTAACAGAACTAAGAGTCCAGTGTTTCCAGGAGGCTGGGAACAGGACACCTTACCAGCCAGAGCCAGGCGGAAAGTTGCCGACTCGGCAATTTTTAGCAGACCAAGCCTTTTAAAAACAGCATCACCAGATTCCTTTGTTACAGAAAACAATCCTAAGTGTAGAACACCAAGCTGTTGACCGTCTAGCCCTTAGCAGCAGCTGCAGAGGTGTGCGCATGTACCCCTTCTCCCTCCTCTGAGAAGGTGGCACCCGAGCCAAGTTTGCAGTATTTCAATGCTGTTAAGCACTGCCAGTCTCGCACGCAATTCCAGGAGAGCATCCCAACGTACTACACGCTACAGCTGTTATGCTTTTCTTTTCCTCTCTGATCAGTGGGCTTTTTGTTCGCTAATTTACTTAAAAAAAAAAAAAAAAGAACAAATGAATTTTAGTGGCAGGAAGCAGCC